TAGTTTAGTTTCAGTGAAAAATAATAGTTCCATAAAGGAAGTAGGATTTTTCGAATTTACGATCGCCAACATTTAATTCCGTGCCGCTCCATTTATTTTGTAACTATCGAACGCACGTGTTCCGCAATAAAATCTAATGGAAGTCAAAATTTCTAGAATCGTTCTTCCGAGAGGATCGCGCGATATTTAGTGCGATAGGGAAAAAAAAGAGAGGTTCTAATTGGTCAGATAATGCCGCATTTTTTTTGGCTGGAATACGAAAATGGTAACTGCCGCGACATTCAATCCGCCATTCAGCAGACGTAATCCTGTCAAACATTGATACAACCGTGCAGGCGACGTGTCTTATAGAGACCAGACGATTTAACGAGACTTTTAGGCAAAAAGCTCGCTCGTTGAATCATAATGTCGGATAATGCGGCGAGAGTGAATCACCGGCCCGACGAGCGCGAAGGAAATATTTACTTCTGCGAGTAACGCGCGCGCTTCAAACTTGCGCCGAGTCGAAACGTCCGAGCCGGAAGCGTCGGACGAGGGAAAATTTTATTTCGCCGTCCGACTTCGTCCCCGTATCGACGATGACAGAGGCGACATCCGGCTTTATCGCGACGACGTTGAAATCACTTCCCCGCTAACCGGACGAGGATGATTTAATCTAAAAAATTTAAGCGAATGAGATATCACCGTAGTATAACTAGTATCCACTCTCTGCCGGCCCCTTTGATCTTTGCGGTCACGTGGTATTCCCGCCATACACTCGGGCAGGATCTAGCGATGTGCTAGATCTACGCATCCACCAAAATAATGGCGGATGCGTAGAAAGGATCGACGCGAAACAAATGACGGAGTGGTTATATTATGATATTACTATGTGCGCGATTGGCTTCGACGGACGTGAAACTCCGCGCTTTAGAGAACAGATCCGAATCCGTTCGATTTAAATCGGCGGATCGGCTACGCTTTCTCCATGACAGCGCATTCGACGTCTCTCAGTTTTGGAACGGTACAGCGCATACGTGACAATTCAAATCGGGCCGCGCGACTTTCTCAGGGACATTTTTCGAAATCGAGAAATTAGTTCCGTTCGCGCCGCATGGCCCAACATGCTCCTGCTTGTGTCCCAACGGCCAATACCACGGCGTAAAGATAACAAGGTGAAGTAATCTGGTGGATGCGCGGTGTCAACCAATCAGAAGTGGCCCAAACTGCCGAATTGACCAATCAGAAATTTGCCCCAACCTTCAAACTGCAAATCATTGCGGTTGAATGCAGGAAGAGCCAATGAACAGCTTGCCCCAAAATTGGTTACGTGCGCAATGTTTCACCTTGTATCTTTACACCACGACCAATGCCGTCACTTAAATAAAACGACGGTATTGGTCCTTGGGGCAAGCGGGAGCATGTGTGGCATGCGACGCAAACGGACCTATTGAGAAAGAGCCGATCGCGTTTTGTCAACTTCGGAGTCGCGACACGTACAGGCGACTCGATATCGAGAAAATTATACGTGTGCGAATTTAATTAAAAATTATCGCATGAAAAGCGTAAGGCGTGACACTATATTTCGCAAGTATTTTACCGATAATGAATATTACGTCCAACTGTGTTACTATTAACAGTGAGCGAAAGAGAGCGAGAGAGAGAGAGAGAGAGAGAGAGAGAGAGAGAGAGAGAGAGAGAGAGAGAGAGAGAGAGAGGGGGGGGAGCTTTTTAATAATGTAGCAGCCATTGTGATTCTGGTTCGAGACAAAGCGCCATTGTGATTCTAGGATTAAAATAACAAATAACAAATATTTGTACTCGAGAGTAATTGTAATATACCCCGCCCGCGCCATACCGTTCCCGCGCATTTGTTACCTCGTACATTTTCTTCCTCTCCTTTTTTTTCCCCTCCCGCCTTAATTTCCCAATCGCCCGGGTCGCTTTTTATCGAAATCGAGGGGACGCTCGTGGGCCGAAAATTAAATGGACGGAGATCCCCGCGAGGGCCCTAGAGATCCGCGGTGCCGCCGATTGTTTCGCGCAAAACGCCGGAACTCTTCCGTCTCCCGGTCCGCTTCTTCCAGGCCGTCGGCCAAGTATCCTCGAATTAAAAAAGGCTACGCGGCTCGTACTTCCCTCCCCTCTCCCCCCTCCCCCGCGCTCCTCCGTCCGACGGAATCCGAACCGAACTTTTCGCTGCGCGATGTTTCAAGCCTCCGTCCGGACATTGCGCAGAAATCGACCTAATCGATACCTCGTGCGGCGGTAGAAAGAGAGTCCTGCCGTTCTCGCCGCCGGAGACACGTTCGAAGTGTCCTCGAATATTCCTTTAAAGCGACAGTTTACTCAGAAAGGAAGACGACGGCGCGGAGGGAAACAGCTCGGGAGTCGGGACGTTCCTCGAGATTTAACCGCGGAACAGACGGAGCAGGAGGGTGGGCAAGGGGGCGGAAGGGAGAGAGGGGGGCATCGGGATGTCTGTCAATTTTGAAAAATTGCGGCGTCGCGCGTAAGTGGCCGCCATTAGAGATAGCTCCATCCGTGACGATGACGAACGTGTCTTCTCTCGACCGAGCGCGAGGCGGCTCCCGGTCCGCGTTCACGTGCGGAAAACGTTTTCGCTGCCGGCGACTCGGCCGCGCGCACCCCCGGCGCTCGTTCTATCGCGCGAGATTATTTAACGGCTCGCTTAACCCTACGAACGAGAGCACAACAAAGGTACATGAGCGGGGCTGACTGGTAACGATCGGGTCGCAAGTCACGTGAGGTAGTGGACCGACCGATAGGTATATCGGTACAGCGGAGTCGCAGGCTAGCCGAGGGACAAGAGGGAGGAACAGAGAAAGAGAGAGAGAGGATATCGCGAGCGGCAGTCGAGCGGACGCGAGCATAGCGTGCCACGGACGCGACATAGATACCGGCCTTTGGTTACCGTTCATCGGGTAGCATCACGGCAGCGAGCAGATTAACGGAGAGAAAGAGCTAGAGAGAAAGAGGGGGGGAGGGGGACGGAGGGAAGAGGGCTAGAAAGAGGGGCAGGGTCGAGAGGGAGAGAGAGAGAGAGACGCTGGAAAATATGTCGGCGAAGACGAGTGGGCGAATACGGCGATGTATCGGCGGCGATGAGGAAAGAGGAAGAGAGAGAGGGAGACAAGACAAAGGAACAACGAAGGGCAACCGGAGGCGTACAAAGGAGGGTAGCAGGAAGAAGGTGCGGGAGCGCCGCGAGGAGGAGAGGCGGAGAGAGAGAGAGCGAGAGGGACAACGTGGCAGCGGTAGGAGGAGAGCGAGGCGGTGGAGGTGGCCGGCCACGGCGGAGGAGAAGGATGCGTGGAGTATCGCGGAGGATAGGCAGGAGAGAGGCACGCGCGCGCGAATCGATTAGGTGCGCGTCGGCCATTTTGTTGCCGGCTCGCCGGGAGGCCGCGGCGCGGAGGCGTGGATCCCGGACGGCGTCGACTCCGCCGCGAGGACGAATCGTTCGTTGTCGCGCGCCGCTCTCTCGCCGTTCGATAGGAACGCCCGAAGGTGGTAGGGAAAGTTATAGGGGGATCCGCCGCGCCGCGCGCGCGGGCTTCCTACAGTGGGGATGGGGGGGCCGCGGTGGGAGCGAGCGAGAGAGCGATAAAGCGGCCAGGGGGTGGGAGAGGGGGAGGGGAGCCGGGCGGCGGGGAGTGGGGAGCCCGTGCTCCGGTTAGGTTAGGTTTGGTTAGGTCGGATCCTCCAGCAGACTATAGCGAGACGCCTGACTGGCAGTCAGTGGCTCCCGGGGCCCCGCGTAGTCAGTCTCGTCGGGGTAGTTTCGTGCAACCGTGCCGTCTCTCTCTCTCTCTCTCTTTTCTCCTTCCTCTCTTTCTCTCTCTCTCTCTCTCTGTCTCTCTCCCTATCTCTCTCCCTCTCTTCCTTTCCGTCTATCCGTCTGTCTGTGCGTGTCTCTCTCTTTCTCTCTTTCGGGAGAGAGATGCCTGCCCTTTCGTTCTTTCTTCTCACCTGCCCCCCTCCCGACTCTCCGTCCTGCCGGCCCCTTCCTTACTTTTCAGTGCTCTCTCTACCTTTCTCCGGACGTCTCGTCCAGCTTCTGCCACAATAAATATTTCTTTTGCCTGTCCTCGCCGCGGCCCGTTATCGCTCAAATTGTCTCCTTGAGGACTCCAGTAACGGAATATTCGTCACCACGTCGATGAGTGAGAACGCGATCGCGTCGCGATTCCGGTGAGGGACCGGCCAAGTCGCCGCAGATTTTCGGAGCAAGCACGACGAAACCGACCGCGGAGATCGGGAATGTCGTTCAAGTCCCGCGTCGGACTCGCCAGATAAGTTTCGCGGTTATTCATCGAGTGCGTGTCGTCTTCGCGGAGCAGTGCGGCAGGTACGAGACTCGGGGGATCCCGAGCGAGGAGTCGCCAACTCGGCAGAGAGGAGTCCGCGACCTTAGGAAGTGCCGGGTGAACCGAGCGAACAGTCGTCGAGGCCGAGGGATCGCGAGGAGGAACCGGACGAAAGATCGCGAAAGTGTCCAACTCCGGCGACCGAACGACGCAGATTCGGAGCTGCGGACGCACCGGAGCGCCAACCACACCCGGCCTAGGCCTGGCACGACTCCGCGGACCCAGCAACGTCCGGAGCTTCTTTGAAACCCGTTAAATTTCGCGAACGTTTCGGCGAAACGACAACGTAATGTAATAACATCGCGCCGAGACACATCGCGCGAACCACCGAACAGCCCTCTCCACGGGAACACGCGTGGTCCTCCGCTTTCTCAGTCGCGCGCGAGTCGAGCTTCAGCCGGTCGAGGTGCACGGGAGAGCGAGACTCCGCCTCGCGCGTCCTCCGCCGTTCGTCGCCGTTCCCGGCGAGCCCCTCTCGCGAGGGCAGCGCGGACACACCGGGCCGAGGTTTCGCGAGTTCAAAGGGTACGGCCGCGGCGGTCGGCGTACGAAGGCTTCAAGATTGCTCGAAAACCGTCGCGCGAGGCGCGCAGGAGTGGCAGAGCTGCGGAAATAGGGGCTGCCGGCGTGATGCAGCGGGTGGGCGCAGCCGGGGGGCCCGGGCCCATCGGCTTTCAGGGCCCTCCGAGATCGCTGAAAATCTCGCCGGTCAATATACAGGACGAGCCCGCCGATCCCACGCAGAGTGAGTACACTCCGAGCCCTCTCTTTCGCCCCGCTTTCCGCGCGGAATTTCAGGTGGTGCGCGGGGGCCTCTCGGGCCTCTCGAGACACTCTCGCCGCTTTTGCAAAACCGAACACCTTCAACCTGCCGGGCGAGACGAACCATCGATTTCCCGTCTCGCCGATCTTCCCTGCTTTCCGTTTCGTAGAATCGTTCTGCATCGCGGAAACGTCTCGGGATGGATTTCGATCGGAACCGTTTAGTTACTTCCCACTCTCTGAAAGTCAGTGAATTGTCACTGAAAACAATGAATACTCCACTGATTTACAGTTACAAGTATACCACGGCGATTTTCAGTAGCGGAGGAGAGTGCCCTGTCGTGAGATACGTTTCTAACACGAGACAGCGGGGTTTCTGCCGAGTTAATAGACATTTGTCGAGCCATTATGAATTTATCGCCCTTATAGTGAAATGGTTTGGTGGAAAATGCATTGTCAGATCGTGCAATCGTCGCGAGGGAAGAGCTACGATCCGGGTGTGGATGTTGAAAACCTGCTATCTACATTAGAAGCCTATCTCACAATAGAGGACTTTTCTCTCTACTTGTGTAACCGAGAATTAGCGACTATTCACTGTCTTTCGCGATAACCCACTGATCGACTTTTAGAGGGTAGACTTTTGTCTCATTCTTCTTTTAGGGAGACCGGAATAATTCCGATAGAAATTTGCTCCGAAAAGTTTCATAATACGCGCTCCGACTTCCGAGAGGCTCGTGCGATAGAAAAGATACGAGGGAGCTTCGCGTCCCGTAGGAACCGATTACCGTTTCACGCTGCTTACAACGTAAGCCTAATGAAAGCTCACAATCTTGAGAAAGTAGGATAGACGCTGATGTGCGCAGAATAATATTCGTTATTTCGCGCAGACTCCAAACGTAAAAAAAAAGTGACGCTGGCCGCGAGATACACCTTTCGTTCCCCGCCGATCTTCATTCGTAAAACTCGCGCGTGTACGAATTGTCGTAGTTTTCGTCCAAAGACCAAATAAATCTCGTCGCGAGTGTCTCGACTGATCCTGGCACCGCGGATAATCGTGTCCGATTGAAAGCGATCCTCCCCTCCCTTTTTTAATGATAATGATTTTCCGCCGTCAATTAACGACGATTTGCATCCAGCTCGCAACATCGCTGGTGTTCAAACGTTTAAAAAAAAAAAGCCCCCCGATCGCTCGAACAATTAGCTTAACGTGTCACTTCGTTGCGCACACGTCGTAATTAGATGGTCAAATAATCATCCTCCCGTATTCGTCACTTCACCGGGCTCGTCCACGCTGAGTCAGCGCAAATCAGAGGACAAATACGTTAAATACGGATAATGCGCGTCCACTGTGATATAATTATTTACGCAGTTACAGATTATTATTTATAAATATAAAGCGAATTCCTCTAAATGTCTTTAAACTTTGCGGTTGAAAATAATCGAAGTCGGCAACGGAACAAATTGAAATCAATCAATTTTCGCCCGTGGCCGCAACGAACCTTCGGCTCGGAGCGAACAATGTAACTGTTTTTTACGATTTAATCCTGTCGGATTTAATCGCGCGGCGCGGAGCGTCGTATTTCGGGTTTCCAAATCACTTTCCTCGCGCGATCGTCACGGGACGTCCGAGTAACGGCGGCCTCAATGATAAATAATAACGCTCGGCGATTTTACGTCTTTTACCAAGCGACAGTGAATGCCCGTCGGATTTCAAATCGCGGAGGACGAGCGATCCAGCGACGTACTTACGTCCCGCTCGGTTAGTCGGAGCGTTTAAAGGCCCGTCTACGTAGGCCGCGACACGCCAGACGCAACTCGCAGACGCGGAGAACACGCACCATGTATTCGCACGACGCAAATCACGTCGAGAGATTGGTACTCTGGGGAAAAAACCCATGTTGGGGCCCACAATTAGTAATCGAATTATTTGGATTGTTCGCAACTCTAATCTTTTACGAATTTTACCCCGCGTAACTAAAAATCGCAATTAGCTGTTCTATCTATATCCGGGATTTTAAAGTAATACCAATCAATTCTCTCAATTTGTTCTGACCGAGGGGAAAACCGCTGAGGGCATTATGGTGTACAGATTTGCGGCATTACTGGGCATTACTAGGCAATTTTTGGGCATTAGGCCTCGCTGGGGCATTAAAAAGATAGAATAAGATAAACTAAGATAATAAGATAAAGTAATGCCCAATCTTATTATTTTATCTTCAAGTTATCAAGGATAAACGGCCAATAATTTTACGAGCGGTAATTTTTACAATAATACATAAAAATTTAGGTATAATAAAGTTAAAAATTACATTGTTTCCCTAATCTAATTTATATTGGTAACAATTGTGATAACGCATTTACTTAAATCTAAATTTGGTGGAAGATAAATAACGTACGTTTCGTCGTTAACTTAGTTATTTTATCTTATTGTATCTTATTATATCTTTAAAATACCCCAGCAAGGCCTAATGCCCGAAAAATGCCTAGTAACGCCCAGTAATACCGTTAATCTGTGCACCACAATGCCCTCGGTAGTTTCTCCCTCGACGTAGACCGAGCATTCCTATGCTTTTGCTATGTTTTTGCTATGGAGCGGGTGAAGCCGGAAGTTCAAGAGTGAGATAGCTGTTTTGTGTCTACTGCCTTCTCACTCACTCTAGCTTATTACCTAACCTTTTCGTTGGCAGTGACAGTATTCTATCACTGGTAATAAGCTAGAGTGAGAAAGCAGTAGACACAAAACAGCTGTCTCACTCTCCAACTTCCGGCCTCACTCTGCAGATCGGAATGCTTGGTCTATGTATATATGTCGTTGGATTCGACCAATCAGCGTTGAATTAGAATCAGTCTACGATCCTTGCAACACTACAAGTCTGTTCGCATGGCCCCAGCATGCTCCAGCTTGCCCCGGTGACCAATGCCATCATTTTATTTACGATTTGAGTAACGGTATTGGTCGGTGGGGCAAACAGGGGCATGTGGACATGCGACACGAACAAACCTTACGATACGACCAATGTAGAACCGGCCTCATGCGGGGTCTACAATGCGAGTCTCAGAGTCGCAGTCGTAAGAATAATCGACTGTAAAGCCTCGTCTACATAGAAGTCGTAAAGTCGTAGTCGTAAGAATAGTCGACTATAATTGGCCAATTCTAAAGCCTCGTCTACATAGAAGTCGTAACGTTGTAGTCGTAAGAATAGTCGACTATCATTGGTCAATTCTTATGTATCTGACGGAAAATTGACCAATCGCAGTCGCTTATTCTTACGACTGCGACTCTGCGACCCTCATTGTAGACCCCGCATTATGCGTCTGACGGAATTGTCCAATCGCAGTCGATTATTCTTACGACTACGACTCCGAGACTCGCATTGTGGACCCCGCATTAGGCCTGTTATACAATACGTCGTATGTCGCTGTCGGATGTCGGGACGTAGCTGAAAATTATTTTTTGAAAAGAAATTTTCTCATTGGACCATCGGCTACGTCCCGACATCCAACAGCGACATACGACGTATTGTATAACAGGCCTGAGAAAATTTCTCACCGATATACGACGCATTGTATAACAGGCCCAAGGCTGGTTCTACAGTAGACGCAGTAAGTCGCAAGCCGCAAGAAATCGGCCAATAACAGTCGATTATTCTTCTCACATTTGGCTGCGATTGGTCGATTTCTTGCGACTTGCTGCGTTTATTGTAAAACCAGGGGCTCGATTCTCGAATTCATTCGCGAGCGAAACGTATGCGAAAATTTTGCTTTTGCAAAAGGTGATTTTGCAAAAAGTGATTTTGCAAAAGGTTGAAAGTCGATTGGTTAAAAACCATTCGAATAGCCAATCAGCTTTCGAGTGAACTCAAGAATCTAGTCCCAGCATAAGACGCAGGACTCCACGCGACCACAACGTCAGTCAATTTAAACGAGAACGAGAAGTTTATTTCTTATTAGTGAATCTTGTGCAATTCTCTCTATTAATTAATAAAGAGCTACATCGCGATGCGTATCGCCGGAGTTACACCAGCCGAGAAGCCTCTGGTCTGAGACCGGTGTTCTCTCACGTTTATGTCGAAAAGTCAATTTGCGACACACAAGTCCACTATGGACTCGTAACATTCATTATTATTAAACTGCACTCGACTGGAATCCACGACTACGTGCAATACTCAATATAACCAAAAGTGATGAACAAGATTTTAAAGGCACGCAGCATCTCTCGGATACTTCGATCCGCGGGGCGGCGCGCGAGCACGCGAAACGGCCTCGTTTCGCGGAGGACGCGGCGTCGTCGCTATGCCGTTGGCATTGAAATTACCGGGAAGTCGTCGTACGCGTGTCTAGTCATCGCAGGTGAATAAAATCTTTTTGTCGCGCGATAAGCCGGCAGTTAAAGTCCGCGTGATTTACGGGCGCCGTTGCGTCGCGAATCGTAAAAAGATCGCGGCTCAACCTTCGCGAGCGAGGAAAGTAGGTATAGGCGCGGGGGGAGAAGAAATCGGGTTCCGCGGATCCGCGGATGCATTTCGTGCAATTTACGGGCTAATGAAGTGCACCGGCGGTAAATAAACCTTGGAGCATCGTTCATTTATCGAAGACGCGTGTCGTCCGCGTATTTTCCGACGTAATATTGACTGTAAATCAAGGTCGCGAGCGGGAGAGACGAGGGTGGAAACGTGAAACTTGTTAATGCGCTCGCAGAAACGCGCGATCAATCGTTAATTAAGTCGCCGCTTAAAAACGATTATAGAAATGCCGGGACAACACGTCCACGAGAGACGTTCGCTAATTTTCAGCGTTAGGCATCGACGCTGTTCATTTCGTTAAAATACCCGTCGTTAATTCGGCGAGAACCTTCTTCGGCGCGCGGCGTATGCTAATACGTTACGTCAAGTCGCGTGCATAATGTTAATCCAAGATGTAAATTACTGCGGCAGGTCGCGACGCTCGTTCAGCAGCGAGATTCGTCAGTTATCGTTTAACATA